CGTCATCACGTACAAATACGGAAGCAGAAAGAAAACTTTACTGTCTGACTTTCACTGCGTCTGTCCAGAGGGGAGTCGGAGCTTTCTGCTTATAGAGTTCATTTTTAAGGTAATTATATGATTTTTCAAAGAGTGTTGTCATTTTCTGTTTTATAAATTTAAACCATTCGTTTATACAATCCTGCTCATTTGACCTTTCGTTTTCAATATGTCCTTGTGTTTTTTTCATGTTTATTTTACTTAAGCTAAAAGATGCAGTTTGTTTTCATGTTTCATTAAATTTAAAAAAAAAAATCTAAATGACAGTTTGAACAGTAATTGTTGCATTTTAGTAGTATATTTAAAATGAATGATCTGTTTTTTTTTCTGTTAGCTTTGTCAGGATGGTGGTGCTTTCAAAGGAGTATGGATATGTGGTGCTGACAGGGTTTGCCAGTATGATCATGGTGGGACACCTGGCCGTTAATGTTGGGAAAGCCCGAAAGAAGTACAAAGTGAACGTGAGCGGGAGGAGTTGTCTCTTTGATGCCACCGTTTTTACAGTTTCGTGCAAAAATGCAAACGATCTCTGTCTCCTTGCAGTACCCTCAGATGTACAGCGATGACCCCGAGAACGGACATATCTTCAACTGCATCCAGCGTGCCCACCAGAACACGTAGGTGTCAGCTGAAATGTGCACCCGCCTGCTGCCTTTGCTCCGTCTCACAGATAAGAAACATAAAGCCGGTGAAGTTAATCTGCTCTTGTCATTTTCACCAGACTGGAATTGTACCCCGCCTTCCTTTTCTGTCTGGCTGTTGGTGGTTTGTACTGCCCCGTGAGTTATTATTATTATTTATTATCGTGCTTTATCAGTCATTGCCAACGATTTGACCCAAGTGCAGAATCTAAGCATTTGTGTGTGATTGTGTGTCCGTCTCAGCGTCTAGTTAGTGGACTTGGAGTCGTGTGGATCGTCGGCAGGGAGGTGTACGCACACGGCTACTACACCGGAGGTGAGGGAACCCAGAGCAGGAACGTTCTGAGTTTGCATGCCTCCATGCTGCTGCAGTGCATTTAAACATGTCACTATCATTATCAGATCCCAAAAAGAGAATCAGGGGAGGATTTGGCAATCTGGCCTTGATTGGGATGATGCTGACTACCTTCAACTTTGGTCGCCATCTGCTGGGCTGGTCCGGACCCCAGTTTGGACCCTTCCGCCACTGAAGAGGAGGAAGATTTCAGCATTGCCTTAGCTCAATCTTTATTAGTCTAATCATAGCGAGTAAACACTAAGTAAAAGAAGCTGTTCCTTGACTGGTGGAACAGGTTGAGTTCATGTTGAAAAGTGATCTGACTGGTTTTCCTGCAAACAGCAACAAAACGTTAAATCCTTTTGTGGTGCACTGACCAATCAGTGTTCTCATTTCAGTCAGCTGACTTTATCTTTTTGGTATTTTCAGATTGTAATCCTGTGGCTTCAGAACTCTTGATATTGGTGCATTTTTGCTAAAAAAATAATCAAATGTTTGTGACATAACGCCTCAATTTGTTGCTTTAACCAAGATGAAAAATAAAGATTTTTTTACCTTACTAGAAAGTCAAGTGTTGCTTTTAGAATAACCTTACTTTTCATTTTCTTATTTCTCCTCATAAACCACACTAATGAGAAAAATATGTTGTTGTTTTTTTATAATGGAGATTTTGTGTAAGACGTGTAAGCAGTCACTATGTAACCTGCAGTAGATGGCAGCCAGAGTTGGCTGTTTGGAAAGTTAGAAGTTCTAATCAATGAGTGAAGCTAACTGCTACTTACTGTGTGAGAATATCAACTAAGGCAAACCTCAAAATGTTTATGCAAACCAAGATATTTTTGAAGCTCATCACTTCTGCATCGGATGTAGCCTGGTTTAAACCAGACCCTGTCCTTCACTTTGCTTTGTACGAGGGTCTGGACTTGATGCATAGAGAAGTGATTCTTGCAGGAGGCGTGGCCTCTGCTGAAGTTTAAAATGATTGGATCAGTTGGCTGCGACGTATGTCGCTGTGATGGAGGCTAAGCTAAGAAGCTAACTGGAAATCGCGTGTGCTGTAAATAACCCTGAGAGGAGAAATACAGTATAATATAATATAATGAAGTTGACACACGTGATGCAATCCTGGCACGACTTTGTGTGCGAGAGGAAAAGTTCATGTTAGCACAAAGTTGATGTGCTCAGGCCTAGTGTCACGTACAGAGGTTAGACAATGAAAGTGAAACAGCTGGTTTTAGACCATAACATCCCTTTCAGACAGCTTCCTCTTGCGTCCACAGTTAATCCTGTTGGATGTGGTTCATCCTTCTTGGTGGTACTCTGACATCACCCTGGATACTGTGGCTCTTGATACATCACAAAGACTTGCTGTCTTGGTCACAGATGCGCCAACAATTTGTCCTCTTTTGAACTCTGGTATATCACCCATAATGTTGTGTGTATTGCAATATTTTGAGCCAAACTGTGCTCTTACCCTGCTAACTGAACCTTCACACTCTGCTCTTGCTGGTGCAATGTTCAATTAATGAAGATTGGCCACCAGCCTGGTCCACTTTAACCATTAAACCTCCCACACTAAAATGACAGGTGTTTCAGTTTCATTGTCCAACCCCTGTAGATCTACAACTATGCTCCACCCAGGACCTCTGTACTCCACTACCACGATAATAAACCACCTTACCCATACTCCAGCAGGGTTGTGCATGCTTACAACCTTTCAGAACTTCTTAATACTCATATTGGTGCTGGGCGGTATACCGTTTTGTACCGAAAACCGGTTTTTATTTTTGTTATGATATGACTTTTCTGAATACTGGTGCAAATAGCCTGAACACGTGCGGAACGTTTCGCTATGGCCGCCAGTGAACTGTTAAGGGCTCGACACACGGGCAGCGACAAACTACAGCATATAACGGCTGTCGTCGCAGTCAGGGTGAAACCTGACACGGGACGCGATAGCGATCACAGCGTTGCGAATCACGCTCTCAGGTCATCTTCACAAAATTTGATTGGTTCTTGACTCTGAAGGCAGGTGTGCATTACGGACGTGTAAACTAAACAAATCTTGCGATGCTAATGATAATGAAAAACAAACACACATCAAGATACAGTTTTATGAGGAAAAACTTACCATAAACTTCACCCTGGTGCCAATAAATTCCCACAAAGCTTTTTAGTAATCACTTAGTGAAAGTGTTAGCTAACTGCAGTGTGTAGCATACTCTCCTCTCATTGGTCAGCCAATGAAACCCTCGCTGATTGGTTGAACTTTAAGAGAAAGCGACAAAAGTTGAACATTTTTCAACTTTCATATGTCGCGTCGCAAGCTCGCGTGTGCACGTCTACGTGTACGAGCGTGAAATTTCACATGCACTATTTTCGCCGGTCGCTTAGCTGGAGGAGGGCAAGCGATTGTCGGCTCACCACACAGGCTCCATAGGAAATGAATGGAGAGCGAGCGACATCACCTCCCGTGTGTCGAGCCCTTTCCCCTGGGGACACGTTTCCTTGCAGCACCACTAAACGCATTAGCATGCTAATGTTATTGTTGGAACAACTGGCGGTGGGTGGTGTGTTTCAGCCGCTTCTATGGTCTGACGTAAGAAAAACATCCCGTTTTCACCATCGCTGAATAGTAAACAACTCTTCAGTGTTGTGCACGGTTAGATTTAACGTGCTATGTTATAATGGAGATGTTATTGCATGGAGACTCTAGCGAGCTTTTATTGTGAAAAGTCCGGGGAGAAGTAGTTTTGTAGTGTAGCGGAGTTGACTGGTGTACAAGGTGAGTCGTCCTTTTAAGTTTTATTAACACGTAACGATAGACCAGATAATGATTTTTTTCTCAACCCTTCCCGATTGAACCTAAATGCATGATTACTGTCTATAACCAAAGAAGAAAAGGCGTACAAGAGGAGGGAAACAGTGATACAGAGGTACAGTAAAAGAAAAAAGTCAATAAGCAAAGTTTGTACATTTTATTATCAGCTGAGCTGTGAGGAAAAAAATACCGTCAAATACCGTGAAACCGGTGTAACTGTTGAAAATACTGTGATATAAAATTTGGGTCATACCGCCCAGCCCTAACTCACATAGAAATATTAAGCTTCTTCAAAACCCATCCAAATGTTGGCCGATTTCTTTTTCTTTACCATAAAAAGTCAACATCCAGTGCGAAAGGAATCTAACATAATGGCAGAACATTAAAAATTCACTTAATCCCTTGGAAAAAAAAAAAAAAAAAACAGAATTCCAAACTGATCTTATCGAGTCTTCAGTGGGGCATTGATTGATTAATAAAGTTGTGTCAACAAAGGTGTGTGCGTGTGTGTAAGAGGAGTGTCTGTCTCTTTTTTTGAATGGTTCCAAGTCCACCTGGCTTGTTCAGACAGGGGCAGTAGCTTTGTTAAGCGGTTGATTTCAACACAAACAACTGAATCACTTGAACAGAGCAGTTTATACTCGTTATGACACCACCATAAATCCCACCCACATCAGTGTTATTACACAATATCCCACATTCAAAGCAAAGTGGTTTCTGTTTTAATATTAAACAGGAAATCTTCCATAAAACTATATTTTTACATTTCAGTTGTAAATACATTACTGTTTATTATTATTTTTTATCTGTAACAGGAACGTCAACACTATGAGGCAACAGCTTAGCTTCATGGCACTCCCTCTTACAGAACAAGACACTGAGCTGCAGAAATGCTTAGTCATTAGCAACCTTTTAAAGTTTTACAACATTTAGTCACTGTTTTATCTTTAATAGGAGTGGATTTAATGCAGCGCTGTGTTAATTTAACACCCAATAAAAAATCACTAAGTAAGCTCTAGGCTCATATAACATCAACTTTATAACATATAGACTTTTCATTTCAGCTAAATTGTTTAAATAATTTGAAATGAAGCTTTTTTTTCATGGAGGGGAAAGGTTCAATCAAAATATGACTTTTGATTTTATAGTTCTAATTTTTTAAGGCAGCAGTTTGGCTTAAAAGTGCACTTCACTAATATTTGGTCAAATAAATAAGTGCTGTAAAATGTTTTGGAGCAAGTTGTCAACGTTACAGTGAGTCACTTAACGTCTTCGGTCAGTTTGTGTCTCTGCTGTTTGATAACCTTAAATTTTAACGACAGATCTGCTGAGGAACCTGTCAAACAGCATGGCAGTGCAGATGTTAGAGCCGGCTCAGGTTCACCTCCCGGCCTGGGTGGAGTTAACGTCCTCCCTGTGAACACATGGGTTTCCTCCTCTGGTTTCGTCCCACAGAGCAAAAACATACACGTTACTGTACGTGGATTGGTAAACCTTAATTCTTGGTGTGAGTGGTGGTTTGTCTCTACGTGTCCCTGTGATGGACTGGAGACCCTGTCCAGGCTGTCCCTTATGACTGGATGAAAGGTGTCCCAGCTGGAGCCGCATTACCTCACATGTCCTCTAGGGTGCAGTGTGATCATTGGAGCCACATTAAAGTGCTGTGCAGAAGGAGTCAGTTCAGTCCAGGTGAGAGGTGCTGTTCATTTCCACAAAAGCTAAAACTCTCCAGAATTATTAAGGGAATGTGACTAAGAAGGAAAACTTTTCAATTTAAAAGACTGACAATCATTTTTCTCACAAAACTTTGAGTCACAACAAGAAACTCGATGAGACGCAGCTGCATCCAAGCCAAAGTTTCTCTCACATCCCACGTGGTCTTCGTTGGATCTTGATCCTCACATGTTGTCTGCGTGTTTGGCAGCGACACACAGGATGTGGGCTTCCATCAGTGAGCGTACATGGAGAGGGGCGTGTCCTCCATCAAATCATCCTGGAGAGGATGATCAAAAATGTAGCAAATATTCAACAGAAAACACAGAGTGATCCTGAGCTACTAACACGCTAACTCTTAAGGCCCTGTCACATTAAAACATATAAAACTTATAAAACTTATGCCATTTTTAAAAGTTCTAAATGCAATAATTGTTCCACATTTGATTTATTTTATAGAAGTCTGGGAAATGCATGTAAAACCATTACTAATCCTATTTTTATTTTACAAAAAAAGAGCCATAAGAATTATCACAAGAAAACATTATATCACCCATCTAATACATTGTTTCATCAATTAAAATAATTAAAAAATTATGAGTTGGTTGAATATCATATTCTGCAGGCTATGTATAAAGCTCATAATGTGTTACCTTCAAATCCAATCAAATTTTGTTAAAAGGGAAAGCTGCTATAATTTCAAGGGATTACAAATGTTTGTTAAACCAAAAATCCAAACAAATTTGAAGGACAGATGCACTTCAATGAAAGGTATAAGTGTTATGATTGTTGTCTGTGTTAATGTTTTATTTTAGTTTCTGTCTTGTCATCAGTTTTCTTCCTCCTGTCTGCCTGTGCTCCAGCCCCGCCCACTCTCACCTGCTCCTCATGTTTCTCTCCCAGGTGTTTCCTGTTTGTGCTCGTTAGTCTCACCTTTATATTCTGAGTCTTGTCTTCACTTCCCTGTCTGATCATTGTGCTGTTCACAGCCTGTATGTTTGTTGCCTTGCCTAGCTACACCAAGTTAGTTTTTGAGCTGCCCTGTCAGCAATTTTTGTTTAATAAATTTTATTTTTTCATTTTGGAAGCTGCCTGCACCCTCCCCACCCCTCTGATGCTGGACCTCCAGCTCCGGTTCCTGTGGGCCCTCCAGCTCTGGTTCCTGTGGGCCCTCCAGCTCTGGTTCCTGT